ACAAAGATTTTTTACTTAAAGTGTATAATCTAATATGAACTATAAGTAATGACTGTGGAAGAAATGGACAAAAGTTATCTGTAACCAATCGACACACTTTCTATAAGATGTAATGAAGGATGATTCTTTTTTTTTTGTGTTTTTGTTCAATTAAAATTAAAAAAATTCAAAAAAAAAAGTGCGTATAGTCAAGGCTATGGTTTTCCCAGTTGCAATGTATGGCTGTGAAAGTTGGACCATATGAAAGGCTGAGGGTCAAAGAATGAAGGCCTTTGAACTCTGTTGCTGAAGAAAACTCCTGCGAGTCCCTTGGATTGCAAGGCGATCCAACCAGTCAGTCGCCAGTCAGTCGTAGAGGAGATCAACCCTGACTGCTCTTTAGAAGGCCAAATCCTGAAGAGGAAACTCAAGTACTTTGGCCACCTAATGAGAAGAAAGGACTCACTGGAGAAGAGCCTCATGCTGGGAACAACTGATGGCAAAAGAAGAAGGGAACGGCAGAGAAGGAGGTTGCTGGATAGAGTCACTGAAGCAGTCGGCGTGAGCTTAAAGGGACTCCGGGGGATTTTCTTTGTGATTGTGATGGGTCGGACACGATTTCGTGACTAACAACAACAAACAAGCCAGCATTTTCAATTCCTGTCTGCAAGGCTTAGCATCTGGTCTCATCATCCCAACGTTCTTTCGTTCATTTCTTACTTTGCAGAACATTTAGAGTAATTGCCAAATGTTCTGCTTTGGACAGTTTAAGCCCCCACTTAATCTGGAATTGTCACAAGATTCCCCTCTTTAAATTAAATTCTCTTCAGCTTCTAATGAATTCAACATAGAAATCCAAGGCTAGAAAAAGGGGTTGTGATCTTAGGACACGTCGTAAACAATTTGTAAGCATGAAGTAAGAAAGACTCTCAAAGTCCTTTGAAACATTGCTCAAAGCTTTCCCAACATGTATTGTGTTTCCACATAATCTACCTGGTGGACTTGTGCCAGCCAGATTCCCAGGGATTTTGTGCCCTGCAGGTCCAGCACTTACGTGATGAAGTCCAGGAAGCTGGCCAAAGGCTCGTAAGCGTGATTCCGCATGTGCCGGAACTCCACCACCATCTTCTCCTTAAGCTTGTCATCAATGACAGAGACAGTGAGAGGAGAGGCTTCATTTGCCAGGAAGTTCCCATAGTCCGTACTCTGGAGGTGAAGCTTTAGATCTGAAAAATTAAAAACAAATTTCAAGCAGGAAAATGGATGGAAGACAGATCTGGCAGTCACTGACAATAGTTTCCCCCATCTAGGCTGGAGCTTGGCACTTTTACTTGCCTAATGTATAAGGTATGTCAGCTGCCCCCTCAGGCTTGCTTGTGCTTCACTGCTAGGCAGTGAAAGACTTCCATGAACTGCGTGGGGAGGGGGAATGAAGGGGGGAGTGTATCAAGGTCACCCAGCTGGAAGAGGAGGGGAGGGGGGCATACCAAACTAGGCTTCGATTGTCCGTTAGGAAACCATCTTGCCAAAACCAGATTGGTTGCACTGGGGGAAGCAATGAGAGACAGTTAAGGGAGGGAAAAGTAGAACTTAGGGAGTTTGGCATACAATTTTCAGTTTTGGTTTTGCACTACTGCAATACACTTGATTTCTAATAAACTGTATCTTTCTCAACAAATGGAGCCAAGAATCTTTTTTATTGAGAAGTTTGTGACAGGTCTGACAAGGTGTACTAGCTCTAGGGATCTAGAATCATGAGTCCCTTGGGACAAATCTCTGACAAAACAGGCACTTCTTTCAGGTGCCTTTTCCTATCTAGTAGTTAAGGAAGGTGTAGCTGCTAGGGAGATTTGAGTGGCCCTGTATGCTTCAAGTCACTGTTGAGTTGCACTTGAGAACAGAAGGAAATACAGTATTCTGCAAGAAGATCGCATAGACCAATGACAAACAACAGCATGACAAAGTAACAATGGTGCATTGGAAGAGCCGCAAGAAATGGCATTTGCCTGCAAGCAAGAACTGGTCAGACCATCAAATAAGTAATAGAAAATGTAGAAGCTAAAGTGGTCTGGAACTTTAGAATTGAAACAGAGAGGAACTTGCCACATAACACCCCAGATTCTACAACTGTCAATAAGAAAGACAAAAACCTCTGAACAGTGGACTTGCCAATACCTGGAGGCAGCAAAATAGTGATGATAACAAAACACAAAGACTTTAAACAGAAATGGGACAACTTCGGCCAAAGAAAGCAAAGGTAGCACCATCAGTCATAGGCTCCTAGGGTGCAATCCCAAAATAGCTGGAGCACCACTTGAATAGCATGGGCATTGACAAATTCACCTTTGATCAGTCAATTGCAAAAGGCAGCTTGACTCAGAACAGCTGATATCCTTCGATGGGACCTTTAACACCATCAAGCATCAACATCTGCCTATCTGAGGTCTTTGGGAAAGACTCGACAGATGGGTAAAAATGCCAAATCCAGTCGTTTGTTGCTTTACTATGAAACAAAAAATAACAGTCAAAGTCTTTTTAGCCAAAGAAATAAAGTGCAAAGCACTAGGAATATAGAAGTGGGCCACTGATATGCCTTCAATTCATTCCTACTCATATAAGACCAAATTAAGCATTCTTTAAAGATGACGGTTTTTTTCTATTTTGTGAGAGACCTGTCTCCCCAGCTTCTCAACGACTACATTGCTGGACTGCTTCCCCGTTTCCCCCACCTCATGCAAATATTCTTCACATAGCAAATGTTCCATATAAAGAACAGTCTTTTCTTGCTGTTCAAGTCCAACCCCTGCCCCAACAGACGGAACTAAGCCAGCTAGAATAAACACTAGTTGAGCTCCTCACAGAGCGACTAGGAGCCTTAATCTGCCTTTGACCTTTTCAGTAGTTCAGTTTGACATGTTTTAGCCAGCCAAAAGCCTCAAGTCTTGGGGTAGAGATGAGGGGACAGAGAGGGGGGAAAGTGTGTGAGACAAACTGATTGGAACCAGATGGAACTGACTTGCTTCCAAAGACTTCTCAGATTTTGGAAATCTGGAAGAGTTCAAGGCACTCCCTGCCTTCAGGGATTCCATGAATTGCAGAATTACTTTTCAGTTCAATATCAGAAAGGCAGAACAGAGGTGGTGAGGGATTCCATGCTAAACCAGGAGACCCAGAGCACCACTTTCTTAGTGAGTTGCACAGAGAAGGAATGGAGATAGTCCAAACATGAGTGCAGCCATGTATGAAGCACAGTCTAGAAAATGTTGACTTTCAGCTTCTGGGTGAGGTTTTAGGGCATATTAGATGTGTCCAAGATAGCGGGAAAAGTGAGCAAAACGAACAATGGCCAGTGATAATCCCTGGCCAGTTAAAGTCTTTCTGGGCAAAGGACAGAAGGAGAGATCACCCGTCTATGCCCCAGACAGCTGGTCCTTGCAAGGAGATTGAAGGATGGAAATCTTGTGGTCTTCTCATGAATAGAGCATTGGGGGTGGGATGTCACAGAAAAAACAGCTTGCTTGTATTTGTCATGCCCGACTTTTAAAGGACATTGAGTTCGATCCTTTACTTCTTTCATCAATTTGAGGTATAATCAATTTACAATTGAAAACAAGAACACAAAATAAACTTCTTTACGTCAGCTTTTCTTCCAAATTACAAAATCCTTTCCAATTAGAATACTACACAAAAGGGAGAAGTATTATTTTTTTACCAACAAACCTGAACCAAAAAATGTATAATATTAATGGGATAAATGAAAAAGAGTGATTTTCACTTTTAAACAATAGAAGTTCAGATTGAATTGGTCCAGAAAGTAAGAGAATTGTTAGAAATGTTTAAAAGTGGACTGCACTGAAAATGACAAAGAGACTTAGCACTTTTGATTCTGAATAGCTACAACAAAAATCTGAGGGAGAGATCACCATATTGGACATCAGAAATCCTAAGGTTTTGGTATAAATATGGAATATAAATGCCTAATGTGGAACATAAATGGGACAAGTGATCCTCAAAAAAGAAGAAAATTATTTCACTATTTAAAAAATTGAAACAGGATATATAGCCTGTTTACAAAAAGAATATATTTTAAAAAGGATTTAAAATTTGACTTGTTACTCTGATACCTAACATCAATGATGAAGAAAAACCAGAAACGTACTGGCTTTTATCTTGTACTAATATGGGGAAAGGGCCTGGCATACAATGAGAGCAACTGCAAACAGAATTCCTGATGCAGCAACGGAAAACCGCTCCCAGGAGTGAAAAGGTGGCCTGCCCGAGATTCTGGTTCATGGCTCAAGAGGCTCAAGGGGATGAGATGCTCTTGGCCTGGTCTGGATGGGGCTCTTCTATGCCCCTGGTTGCTGTGTGGGATGGCTCAGCCGTTGCTGGATTTGAAAGAGTTGAAACAACTGCAGCCAGAATGCCAAAAGGCAACTTATCAAGGGGTTCCCTCTGCCTTCGTTACAAGTCCTGCAAGACACTTTGCACTTCACTCTTAAGAAGTATCCAGAAATTAACAGATTAACAGTTGGAGGGAACCTTATAGATCATCTAGTCCAACCCCCTCCCCTGCCCAAGCAGACCCTACACCATTTATGACAGATGACAGTCCAGTCTCTTCTTGAAAGCTTCCAGTGATGAAGCTCCCACAACTTCTGAAGGCAACAATTACAACAGGCGCAGAATGAAAGGAACAGCCAGGCCACTGATACAAGACAGGGGAACCATCGCCTTGCACAATTTACCCAAATGAGTTGACAGCCTGCAGTCCCATCCCCCACAAGGAACCGGGGAGGGAGGGGGAGAAGAGGCTGCCCAGCCCTGGGGATGCAAGAAAGGGCTACTCTGTGCAGGAACCCATTTCGGTCCCACAACTTCACCAAACGCTAAATGTGCTTCTCTCCTAATACTTCTAAAGATTTTGATTCCCTCCCCACCCATTTTTCATTTGTTCCGTGTTTTAAAGCTCATGACCTGCTTTGAGTGTTGAGTGATATAAATTCAGAAATAATTAAACAGGAAAGCTTCTATTTCGTATTTTCAGTCGTTAAAAAGGCAGAAAAGAAAACCAGGCACTGTCCCCACTTTCACCCACAGGCAGGCAGAGCAGCAACGCCCAGGGAAGAAGGCGGAGAGGCCGCCGCTTCCTCTTTTTTCGGCCCCGGCGCCGCATCCCTCAGCCTCCTGGGCTCCGAAGGCGCTCAGCCCCCCAGGGGCCCAGCCCGCCTCCCCCCAGCCCGTGTCCATAGCGGCCGCTGGCAGGAACTGGAGAGGCGGCCGCGGTGCCCCTCCCCGGGATCGGCCCGAGGGTGAAGCGGCGCCTCTCCGAAGCGGAGGAGCCCGTCCGCCTGGGAGCCGAGAGCGGGGACGGGGCGGAGGGAGGGAGGGAGGCCGCCGCGGCGCCACCGACCTTCCAGGCTCTCGCACTGGACCAGGTTGAGGTAGTCGGCCTGGCTGAGCACCCCGGCCTTGAAACCGCGCACCAGGCCCTCCAGGTAGCCGCTGTCCACGTTGAAGTAGAGCTCCGGGAAGCAGGAGAGTAGCATGGCGGCGGCGGCGGCGGCGGCAGAGCCCGGTCTGTCTCGTGACACCCGGCACTTCCGCCGCCGTAGCAGTGGCCATAGAGACGCACGGAGGAGCGGCTTCCGGCGCTGCCAGAGCGCCCTTCTGCGAGGTAGCCGCGTGGGGCGCCTCTGCCTGGACCGGGCCGGGAAGCCTCTACTGGAGGGATTGGGGGAGGGGGGGGGTCTCGGGAGGTCCAGTTCTTGGAACGGGAATCAGAGGCCACTGAGGGAGGCCGCCGCCTGCTTCCTCGCTGCCGAGAGCCGCCAAGCGAGGCGAGGACAGCCGGCAACTGCGGGAGGGAGGCGGGGGCTCCTCCGTGAGGGAGGGCGGCGGAGGCGCAGAAGCAGAAGCCCGGCGTGCTTGGGGCTCCGGGAGTTGGGGGCTTCGGGGGCTGGTGAGGCGCGGCCCTTGCTGGAGGCAGTTGCGGTGAGGGAGACGCCTGAGGCTGCAGGGCGTCTTTTCTCTCGAGGAGCCCGGCGGGATCGCCCTGGCCTTCCTCGGTTCTTCGTCTACGGCCCGGCTCCCTTTCTGGCTCTAAAGCCCCTGCCTTCCTCTTCCTCAGAGGGCAAAAGGGTCTTTCCAGAACATTCCCTCGCTGGGAAGCGACCATAATTTCCAAGGGGTCTTTAACCATTTGGGGAAACGGGGTATGGGAAGCGCACCCCAAACTGGACGGTGCCAGGAAGGAACTCCTGAAACCGTTCAGGAAATGAAAACGGCCTTTTTCCTTAGCAGAGTAAAGAAAAGAAACCGGGAGGCAAAAGCTCAGGACATGATTGCAAATCTGGGCAGACTGCCAAAAGCTATGACTAGAAATAAAGCAGACCCTGAAAAAAACTTAAGGAATCAAGCTAAAAATAACTTACCAAGGCAAAGCCAGAACTCCCATTTTCTCCCCCCCCCCCATAGGATTAACCACCCAGGATAGGAAAGGTAAAGGTCCTGGGACAGGATTAACCCATTAAGGCAGGAAAACAGGATCCAGGGCAATCACTTCAAAGGCATACATCAAAACTCATCAAACTGTAGAGGAGCTTCAAAGGAAAATCCAGTAGAAGAAGGCATGACTTTGCCCCCTCCCCCCCCAATCTGCTTGCAAGGCAGGAATGTTCCAGCTGTGTCATTTTTTGCTTCTGCACCCATTTCTGTGGTGTGTCCCAGCTGGGAAGGAACCAGAGAATTTTCTTCCAATGGGTATTTTGAGGGGACGAAAACAGCACCTTCGTTAGCTTCATGGAGTTCAATATCTTGGAGGAGATACATTTGGCCACCTCTCACTATCGCAAGATGTTACAAGACAGACAAATATTCTGCTGATCTTTTCATTAAATGTGTTCTATAACATATTCTGCAGCACCAGACTCTATTATTCCTGTTACCTGTTCTTTCCTCCCAGATCCCATATTTCTACAATCTGGAAGATAACGTGTGGGAAGTTATCCAGCCCTCTCCCAGAAAAAATGAAATATCCTAGGAAATATTGAAAAGGCAGAATGTTTCTCTGGATGTGAAAAGAAGCATGTTTTAAAAGACAGAATAGTTGCCTGTAGCTTCCTGCCTACCCTCACTTTGTCAATAGACCCATTAAGACTAGCCAGGCTAGCCCACTTTACATAATAAAGACTTCAGCAGCAGCTAGAGAGAGGCATGATAATATTTTACTCAGGTCTCCACATGGCATCTGAGAACTCATCTATGGATTCAAAACAGCCTAGAGAGTAGCACCCCTGCATGGCCCCATGGGAGGCTGACAACCAATCAGAATACATTTCTTGCACAGGAACAGGAAACAGAGGTGGGACTAAATGGTATAAAAAGCCTAGCAAGCCCCTTCCTCAGCCCTTCTCTTCTCCACCTACATTGAAAGTGATCACCTTTTCTGTTCAGGGCTCAAGCCATGTGGCCCTGTCCAACAATAAACCATCTTTCCAAGCAGCCTCCATGTCTCCAGTGTCTTCTTCCCCACTTGGAGCTGAACCCAGAAGGACATTTCTTTCAACAAACGAAAGACAAAGGTTCTGGGGAATCCTGGGCTGGCAGATACAGTTCATTTAGTGACTGTTCAAAGTTACGACAACAGTGCAAAAAGTGACGTGACCATTTTTCAAACTTATATTGCAGCATCCCCAAGATCATGTGGTTTACATTCAGATCAGGGGTGGGTTGCCGGTCGCTTGTGTGCATGCTGCGTGTGTGTGCACAGTGCAATTGAAATTGTTCCCCCCAAGAATCAGTTTGGGGGCATGGCAGGCCTGGGTCGCTGCTGGTTCCAGTAACCCAGGCCGCCAAACCACTACCGGTTTGTCCAAAGCAGTCTGAACGGTAGGAACCCACCACTGATTCAGATGCTTGACAACTGGTTCATATTTATGATGGTTGCAGTGTCTTGGGTTCATGTGATCACTTTTTGTGACCTGGCAAGCAAAGTCAATGGGAAAGCCAGATTCACTTAACAATGCTGTTACTAATTTAACAACTGCAGTGATTCACTTAATAAATGTGGCAAGAATAGTTGTAAAATGGGGCAAAACTCACTTCACAAATGTGTCACTTGGCAACATAACTTTTTGGCTCAACTGTAGTCGTAAGTCAAGGACTACTTATAGAATAACTAGGACAAGTTCTCCAGAGACATTCTTTGAGTAATTTTTACATTTGTTTTTTATTTGTACTATTCACCATTCTCATGGGGGTTACCATATTTTTCACATGCACGAAATCTGTTTTTGAGTCTATATTTTTTAGTTCTGGTTTGGAGAATAGGGAATAGCACTCCCATTAGATGAGATCAAAGACAGTTTGGCTCCTGCCTGCTGAGTTGAGGCAAAAGGGTATTTCTGTAAATAAAAGAATCAGAAAACCATATTGCAATGTCAAAAACAGAAATCCATGGAAAGTAGGGATAGGTTTGAGCAATAAGGTAAAAGTCAGATTATGGAAATGGTGGAAATAAGAGGAGAGGCCCCTGTGACACTCCTGTTTTGATTGAGGTCGGGTGAAAGCTTGGAGAACCTAAACAGTTGAAGCTGGAGCCAAAGTGCTTTTAGCTTTCTGGTTTTAATTAGCATAATGAAAAAAAAGATCACATTTCATGGATTCTTTCTCATAGGCGATTTATTGGAATGTAAAAGAAATATCTATGGACCCCACATCTATTCAAGATCAGTGAGTGGCAGCCTGCAGGAAGCAAGCTAGTTCCTGCCACAGGGGAAAGTACTGCTAAATTTCTTGCAGAAGCAGTTAGCGTTGAAAAAGCGGCAGTAGCAAGTGGCGCACGGGTCACAGCATGGCAGTTTGTGCCCAAGGCAGGATTCCTGGACACGGACACATCTCCGCAGGGAACGCCCTTCCCGGTCCTGGGCCTGCAGGGCTGCTGAAATCATCTGCAAGGAGACCACAAAGAGGGTCACAGTGGGGCAGCATTTAACGCAAGTCTGAGGAGTTCTAAAATGAACCTAGCTGGAAAATACATTACAAGTGCAAAGGAGAGAAAACCATGCTTGTATGTATGGCAGTTTAATATCTATGTTTTAAAAGGAGTGAAGGCATCAACTAGAAAAACAGTCTGGGACCTTTTTAAGCCAGGGTTTATTATTGAATCTCCAAGCCTTGTTTATATACTATGAATGGATCTCTAAGAGGCGCATGGCCTGGTTAGCCACCAGTGGGCAAGCCTGAGTTTCTCACAGCTGCCACCAGCAATGCAGCTTCCAGGAGGAGGATTGGTCAGCCCATATTTTTACCAACCTTTTAATGTTTTGAATAAGACCGCCATGAAAAACCCAGCTAAAAGTAAGCCTTAAATTCATCTACTGACATCTTAAAGAAAATATATTGCAGCAACCGAACAGGATCCACAACGGTTTCTACTGCAGAAACGGTGTCAGAAGGACAGACATTAATATTAAATGCCAGCAGTAGCTGAAACAGCTAAGTCTAAAACTGATCTGAAGGCCTAAGTTATGGTCCTTAGCTTAGATGTTTAGATGCCAGGAGAT